CTCAGCAAAAAGTTTGAGGTGATAAAATGCCTATATCATCCCCAACCTCACCTGGCTTCGCTCATCAGTTCCCCCCAGAGTAATGTGGCCCCTGGCCCTGCTGCAGATTAGCTGGAGGAGGGGTACTCACCACACACAATGGGGCCCTTTTACTTCCAGTGGAGGCCTGGCTCTGAGCTCCAAACAACGCTCTCAGCACAGTAGGCGCTCCTTCTATTTCTCTTTTTCACTCAAATGCTTTTCTGCTTCACTCCTCTGCTTCTTTCATTCTAGCCCCCTTGTCCTCCCTCACCCCAGCGCCATGCTCTCCTCTCATTTCTTGGCATGATGAGCACAGACAGGCTGTTTACCTGAAGGGACTGAAAGAGGGAAGCAGCAATAGTGATGATAGCTGGTAAATAAACAAATCTTGAACGAAAAAGAAGGGGCCATTAAAGCGTTTATGCACCAAGAAAAGACAGTTTGGAATGGGAGGCTCTCATTTACCCCCAAGCCTGCTGGCAGCTACTGTGCATTGGCAGAAGAGGGTCATGCAGTTACCATGTGCATGAATAAGCAGAGATTTCTCAATTTTCTACCACTGCTGCTAAATGTGTCACACTTTCGCCATTGGTCCAGTCAGAAGAGGAGACTTTTGCGACAATAGTGACATCCAAGGATTTAAATCTTTCTACAAAGGATGACAGAAATACGTTATGGCAATATATTATGGAGTGAACAAAAGATTAAAAAGTCAGAGGCCAGTTATGCGCATCTAGGTGTGTGTGTGTGTGTGTGTGTGTGTGTGTGTGTGTGTGTGTGTGTGTGTGTGTGTGACAGGAGGAGAGACAGAAAGGCAGGCATCCCTTCCAGGGTGAGGTGGTAATGCTCAGTGACAAGGATAAACAGCGCTGGGGTTTGCTCCTACCAGGAGAGGGGGATGAGGAGGGGGATCAGGAGTAAGAGGAGGAGGAGGGGAAGGGGGTCTGTGTCAGCCTCTCTCTCTTCCTCCTGCTTTCTCCTCTGTCATTTTTTCAATTATCCCTCTCTCCTGCGTGTCCCCATAGACCCAGAGGCAGGGCCCGCATCATTTAGACTGAGAGCCTGTTTAGATTCTGATTATAGCCTCCTTTCTTCTCAGCACTCACGGCCGTCAGACACACACATAACAGTTACACACACCACGTACTGGCCGCACACTTTTGAGCCAGCATGAGGTGAATAACTGTAGCAGTAAATTTATCTGCTTGTGAAGCTCAAGGGACCGTTGATGGTACATTGGCTGTTGCTTTTTTAGAAACTGTCACAGGGTTTGTGTGTTTTTCTAAATTTGCGTCAAATGGAAAAGGACTGGGCAAAACATTTTTCATCTTTGTTTATTTTAAAATGTGATCATTTGGTGTGCACCAGCATATATTAAATGATGGTTAAGGGTGCTGTGTTTTGGGAGTACTTTTTGTAGTCGGAGACCTCAATTAGAAGGGAGGTGAAGGTGTGAAATCCAAAGTTCACTCCTAAATTAGAGAAGATGCAGTAATTTAACCAGCCTGTCTCTATACAAACATGGTGCTGAGCTGCAATAGGCCAATTCCCTGTGGCTGCATGCTAGTTTAATATCAGATAGCCCTCCTTTCTCTCTTCCTGAGGCTTCATCTGAAATGGAAAGTGGGGCTTTCCTACTCGTTAGAATGAAAAGTCATCAAGGGAGGAGAGGAGAGAGGGATGGAACCTCATTGAAATGCAAGTTGCATCCCCCCTTCTTTCTCTCTCCTCGCTCCTCGGGGACTCCATGCCTTTCTCTTCCTTCTCCTTCCCATCTTTAGGGCGCTCCCCCGCTCCCTCTCTTCCTTTGTTAATCAGTTAAACTCCCTCTTCAAACAACCCCTCTAATTACTCCTCCACTCTCTGTAAACGACAAGGCTGTCTCTCGCTTCTCCTCTCCTCCCTCTCTCCCTCCCCTCTCCCTCCCCCCTCCCTCCCCCAGCTCTCCTCTTTCCAAGACAGGGGTTGACCTCTGTCAGGCACCGACACCTCCGCAGTGTGTATGTGTCTGTCTGTGTGTGTGCACGCACAACTGATTCTTGCATGTTAATGATAGGAATGACATATTTAAAATCTCACTATTGTTAGTGGTTCAACTTTCAGATTTATCAAACACCTTCTGTACAGGATTGTGCGATTGTTCACCCTCATTTGTGTGTGTGTCTGTCGCAACTATTGCCTCAAGCTCTAGGCCGCACTTTTACCTTCCAAAAACCTGCCGCGCAGGGTTCCTTTCTTATTCTGTATGACTCTTAACACACATCTCTCTATTTTACAACCATTATTTCCTCTATCCCTTCCTTTCTTCCTTCCTTCCTTCGTTCCTTTCTTTCACCCCATGGATGGTATCCCTCCTTCTCCCCTCTCTCTGCTTACCCCTCCATTCACACACCCCTCCCCAGCTTCACCTCTCTCCCACTAATCTACCAGGCATCTCTCTCTTTTAAATTAACATGCAACATGAAAAAAATGGGACGACTGTGAAAAAAAAAATTAAATGCATTTAATAAATGGCTGACTTCAAATCGCCCGGCTTTTCAGACTCTCCCTATTCACAGTCCAATGAAAGGGGAGAAATCATTCACCGGGAGAGACAAAGCCGAATGAAAATATAATTCCGCATTGTGAGGCGCTTTTGTCCTGGCCCGTCAAATCGCTAATGGCGAGGCTTTTGTTTTGTGGCGGCGCTCTCAGGCTGGCGGTGTCGTATGGCGGTGGCAACGCATGCCCCATAATCACCACGCTTTGTGATATTAGATTATAGGGGCAATTAATGGCGTCAAACCTTAACTACTCAGCATTCAGCCTGCCACACACACATTCAGCCTTAAACACATGCATACGTGCACGTTTACACACATACCATATCAGCACTTGCACACATGGACGCGCACTTGGTTCCGGCGTCAGAGCGTCAGCCAACACACAGAAAGGTGCTATAACTCCAGTAATTATTACGCCTGTGACTTGAAAATGTCAATGGCGGTGTGTATAAAATAGAATGTATGAGTTGTCAGGGAGGAAGAATGGGATGCACAAGAGCAATTAATTACAGCTTTTCATTTGGCAGCTTAGACTGACAAGGCCCAGCGGCGGGGGCAAGCTGGCATGACGCCAAGCGGCACCCATCACCACCCCCACCTTACTCACCACACCCCACCCCACCCCACCATCCCATCCTTTCTGCCTATTCCTTTACCAACTGCCACAACACCACCCCTTCCCCTGCCTCACCCCACTCTGACTCCTTTCTTCTTCCTCAGCTCACACACACACACTCTTGCACTACAGCTCATTCATCTACATACCCCAGCGCACCCCTCTTTTACTCTCCTAGCCCTGACCCACATCTGCCCTGCCCTGTCCAACCTATTCTCCATCCCCTCGCCGTTACATGTGGCTGGGAGTGTGTTTAGTTTGGGAAGCCTGGTCTGATAAAGGCAGAGTGTGGGGCCACTGACAGACACGCAGAGAGAAAAAGAGACAGAGATGGATGGAGGGAGGGAGGGAGGGAGGAAGGGAGGGAGGCAGGGAGGGAAGCAGGGAGGGGGTAGACAGGGGCCTGGTGGGGAAAGAGAGTGTTAGTATTTATGGCCAATCTTGTGTACAAAGTCAATCAGCTCTTTACAGATTTAATTTACCTGTAACAGCTCGTCCCCTCTCTTGCTATCTACCACACAGTTCACTCTCACACCACCCTCCCTACCTGCTATCCTCTCAGGTAGTGAGTAGATAGACTCCTCTGAAGAGAGCTCTACACACACCAGCCCACACACACACACACACACACACACACACACACACACACATATGAACAGTTTGACCATGAGAGAGATTGATATTTCACCACAGAGTGAATATAGATAAATGGCCAATTTCAGAGATGATAACCCTTGTATTTCTCTATAAAATAACCATCACTTCCTAACAGACAGGGGTATTTGTATTGAGACGGCAGTGTAGTTTATTGATGTGCAGGCAGTGAAGTCTCCAACTCGATCTCACTCCCCTTCTTTTTTGTATTTCTGTATCTGAACTGCTCTGTCTCTTAATCCCCCCGTAGTTTTCTCAAACCTTAATTCAGTTAATAAATACAAAAGCACTTAGTCAGCAGGATTGTCTGCAGGTTTTTTCATATATTCGGTCTGCATTTATGCATGCAATCAGTTACCTCATTTATGTGGTTAGTTTGTCTTCAGTTTTGCAGTGTTTGTAATCAGATTAACATCTCTGCCCATCTCTGTGTACAATGCATGTGCATTAAGAGCTTGCACAACACATTCTGCAAGATTCACCCCTTTTCTCTCTCTGTGTCTCTCTCTCTCTCTGTCTTTTCCTGCCTGCAGCTCTATCTGATGAGATAGACATCTCATCAGATAGCCACTTTGTTGTTCCTTTCTTCTTAGCCAGGCTTGACTGTGTGGAAAGAGAATCGGAGGCAGTCCTAATCATGTGTTTATGGAAGCAGATAAGATTTTATATCTTATAGCGAGATTGTGTATCTGTCCTTTTATCTGTCTGTTGTCACAGAAATTGCCTTTGTGTGTGTGTGTGTGTGTGTGTGTGTGTGTGTGTGTGTGTGTGTGTGTGTGTCTGTGTGTGTGTGTGTCTGTGTGTTTACAATGCCAGCTTTGTGTAGGAAAGTGTCAACAATATGTGTGTGCTGTGGTGCATCAGTCTATTTATCTTTGTCTGATGTTGCAAGCGTTTCTTCTTCTGACTGACAAACGAGAATAAGAGACAACACACCTCTTTAACTTTACCTGTCCATACCAGCATACTGCACAGCCTCCATTCAGATTGTTTGTTTTGAGCTGAGCATTCAGTGTGCAGGCACAGTCATGCTTAAAGCTCGCTGTCCTGGCTGGGCCTTTTCACACAAAGCTTAACCCATTGATTGAGCTGTTCCACTAATATCTACTAGTATCGTAAGTGTGAATTATCTAAAATGTCTGTGTGCATCCCTGTGCTGTCTTTAGGTGCCTGTGTCCATGGCTATGATGAGTCCACAGATGATCACTCCTCAGCAGATGCAACAGATTCTGTCTCCCCCTCAGCTCCAGGCCCTGCTGCAGCAACAGCAGGCTCTAATGCTACAGCAGGTAAAATACACACACACACACACACACACACACACACACACACACACACACACACACACACACACACACACACACACACACTGGTTGGACCAGATCCCAGGCCAGCATGTTTGGATGTGTCTGTTTTAGTAGGTGCTGACACACACTGGGTGTGATTGTATCTTATTTAATGCTCGGAGATCTTTGAAGATAAACACACATCCACATATCCACTTATACACACATTGTCATTTTGAGTACCTCCTCTTTAGCATTGTTGCTAAGAGAATGTGCATGCTTCTGCACACCCACACGCACACGCACACACACACACGCACACACACACACACACACACACACACACTCACATTCTTTTAGGCTTTTTAGCATCAGCCAGTGAATCACAGTGATTCAAGAGTGTGTGTTGATGCCTGGCAGGTGATAGAGGGGTTGCCATGTCGACACAGACCAATAAACACTCTTCATCTGCAACAGTTCTGTCAAATACTCGTCCACACCAACCTGTGACCTCCTACCTACACACGCAAAGGACACAGGCAACCTTGTAAAGGCTGTGAAGAGGATTATTAACAGAGTGGAGAGAGAGTAATTGCGGCATAGAGGATGTCTCGAAAACATATACATACACAGGCAGGCAAGGCCAAAGAAGACCGTAAGATTTAATAAGGAGCGGTAGCTTTAGGCGAGTATAAATTGCAGTGGGAAGATCTGACAACATGTATCATAATGGAAATGTGAAATGTGCTGGCTTTCTGGAAACAGACATGCAGACGGCTAAGAACCTCTTCACCAGCTCTTTTTTTCTCTAACGAGGAAAAAAAAGGAGGCGGGGGGGGTGGTGGGTGTTGATAATGCACATGCGCACACACACACATTACACTTCCACTATTAAAACCACTGAGTTTAACATTGCTCTCCCACTTAATTAACCACAGTATGGACTTGCTCTTAGTGTATATCTGCAAATCAGGCACTTTTAAACACACACACACACACACACACACACACACACACACACACACACACACAGAACAATCAACCAACATATCACTCACTGAAGCATTAAATTTCATATCCCATGGCAATACAGCATTGTGTAAGGGTGTGTAAGTAAGGTTTACGGCTCACTGCCACACAGCAGTTGTGTCTTTGTATGGGCACTCGTTTGTGGATTTGCATATGTGTTTGTGTGTGTCTTTTAACCTTTAAGTTTCCTCTAACCTTTACTTATGCTAGAGCTGCTCTGCCTTTCTTTCTTGGTGTGTTCACTAAAGTCAAGGTCATGGTAATAGGCTCGAGAGGTGAGTGCCTCACTTACACATACTCTTAATGCACAGAGCCACTGAATCAAATCATTAAAAAGACCTTAATTATCACTTAATTATTCCCTCAACTCACCACTCTCCAGCCAACTGCATGTGTGTGTGCATGCCTCTGTGTGTGTGTGTGTGTGTGCTTGCATATGCATTTGTCTGTGTGATGAGGAGGCGATCAGAGCTAGTGACGCGGAAAAGAGAGATTAACTCCGCCTAAGGAGCGATAAAAGAGAGGAAAGACAGATGGAAGCGAAAGAGCAGCAAAAAGGAATGAGTGCTGCATTTAAAATGAATTGAAGGACAAGAAGGAACGTCATAGTACAAAAGCACAGTCGATTGTGCAAAATTTAAGTTATGGCTGGGATAAGATTGAAACTGGAAATGTAAAACAGCTTTGCACAAAAAGAGCATTACATTACACAGGGTGTGTTGTGAGGATGAGCAGTGGTGTGTAGTCTGCTCACTGCAGGGTCAGACAGATGAGAGACCGAAACAACTGCTGCGTTGTGAAATCATTCTCTGCTGAAAAGCCTCTTTGAACATTTGACGCACCATGAAACAAAGACAAACTGCAGACGGACACGCGTACAAGCTGTTCTCAAGAGGACACACACATACACATACACACACACACTGTGGTCAGTGTGAGTTTTCCTGTCCGCCTTGCTCTCCTCTCAGCAAGATTATAATCTTAATGGAGCTTCCTGAGTAAATTAGTGATTACTAACTCAAACAAACAGTTGAGGCCAGTCAGAGGAGACTGTGTGTGTGTTTGTGGGAGTGTATGCGAATCATGAATTAATATGTGTGTGTTTCCATAAATTATCCTGCAATGCTGAATCCGGTAGTTTAAAATAATGCATTTAGCACTGCAGTCTAGTTAATTCCAAGATAATATCTGCATAATTATGGCAGAAAATAAAATGCTAGTAAAGGTAAAGAACACATAGGAGTGTAGAAAACGTCCATCAGGTTACCAGCATACTGCTGCAGGTTACTATGGCGATGGGTGACAACCTATAAATTACCATACAGAACCTGGGGCCAGTACTTATGTACCTGGTATTGAAACAACCCATTTAAGAATTACTGGGGGAAAAAAACACACACACACACACACACACACACACGCACACAGTCCAAGCAGGTGTTTTATGACAGCAGTACAGTAAGAGCTGGCTTAAAGTATTTCACAGAGGAATATCTCCATGTTCTGTCATGCAGGCTGTGTGTGTGTGTGTGTGTGTGTGTGTGTGTGTGTGTGTGTGTGTGTGTGTGTGTGTGTGTAAAAAGCGTGTGCTAGCAGGACTCATCTTCAGCTCCCCGATTTATTTTTTATATATTTTCCAATCATGTCAGCTTCTTCTTTACAATCCTTTACAATGCAGTGCATGTGTGCCGGTGTATTTCTGGTCTGTTGCCCTTCTACCTGACTGGATTGTGCTGCACAGTCAGATCCTTCTGTACAGCACTTGAACTCTATGTGAATAATCCAAGCAGGGCCAGCACTATACAGTAGCTTTGACATACACAGTCAGTCTTGACACAATATAATAGCTTCATCATATTCCTCAGTCTGTGTTTGCTTTTTGTTTGTGGTTTGTCAATAATGCACACACCACCACAACAATAAACTGCGGCCTTCACCGAGAATGGAGGAATAGAGAGCAACTGCATTCCTTGAGTCTCCCATTCAAGTTATGGTGTCTGACTATAGTGACGCATTTCACTGTTGGAAGACTGTAGTATCGTTGAGGTTGATACAAAGTGTGTTGTGACTCACTCACCTCATATTTCCTACCCTCCCTCTCCCCCTCTTCCTTACTTTGCCTCCCCTCTCTTTCTGTGTATGTCTCTAGTTACAGGAATATTACAAAAAGCAGCAGGAGCAGTTGCATCTCCAGCTTCTGACTCAGCAGCAACAGCAGCAGCAGCAGCAGCAACAGCAGCAGCAGCAGCAGCAGCAGCAGCAGCAGCAGCAGGCTGGGAAGCAAGCGGCAAAAGAGGTGAACTTCACCAAGTACATACTCACTCAGCTCAAGTACACTCTGAAGTACACAAGTGCCCTTAAACACAGTAAAAGCGGTTGACGTAGGAGCCTGCAGGAGGAAAAAATCCTATCGAGGATCTGATGTATATGATGTGGGATACATAGGTTCACTCTCTTCTCCCTTCTCTATGTCTCTGCTTTCATCCTCCTTTTTTTTGTTTGTTATTGTGTGTACAAGCTTGTCTCCAAACAAGGATTAGTGACCAGCACACCATGTTGAGGCAGCGAAGGAGTGCTGTGCTAAGCCACACACTACCCCGCCAAAATATTCATTTGTATGCCTTCAGCTCCAAGCCCGAGGTGAAATCTCTCTGTAGGAGGGGTCTGCCACTCTTTTAATTGTCAATTAACCCCGCCAGCACTAGGACTAGCACTCTCTCTGTCTCTCTCTCACACGCACACACACAAATATGCATGAACACACACACTGTACCAGGTTTAAACACAGCTGTGGTACAGTAGGATAACAGAGGATCAACTAGGATCACATTGCGGCACAACAAAGAGGATCGCAATCGATCAGGCAAGATTACTGTCATAACCTGTGTGTACATGAGGTTGTGCGTGAGTGTTTGTGCTTGTGTGTACTGTACGCGTCTAATAGAGACGTTTTTGCTACATGAATGCTCATTCACCAAAATTACCAAACACACAGAGGACCATGCAGGAGACAGACTTCATGGAAAAAGGCCTCGTGAGACTCTTTCTGATAAACGCATGAGAAGACACATCCTAGATTTCTCCCCGCTCTTCCTCCTCTCCATCATCCCCCTCTCCCAGTGGGCAGACACCCCCCACACGCCCCTCCACCCCCAAACTCCTCGCCGACAGCGGTCAACCAACTCGACCGTGACCAAAGAAAACCAGTTGTGGTTGACTCGCATGTTGAGAGGGTGTCTGAATCGTTTTCCCTTTCTCCCTTCTCTCTGCAACTGTCCCAGTTTTATAGGTTTGTTGTCCTGTAACAACCAGACAAGTGCAAACACTGGTCACACCGCTACACATACTTGCAAAGAGGGAGAGGCTTGATGTGTGATGGTTCACTGCACAAACACATACACCTGGCGGAATATGCCTCCCTACAGAGCTGCATACAGCTGATATGACTAAGGCCATTTCCGGCAGGCAGTGTTTTTCCAGTTGCTGCGAGCCATCAGTCAACACTGGAAACACCTTTTTAGTCGATTGGAATATCTCTCCTGGTCAAGCAGGTGCTCTCAGAAATTGAGGCAGGGGAATTGTTTCATTAATGTAAGGCTTGTGCAGTTTGTAAGCCTGTCCTACAATGCAAGCTAACCAGTAATCCACCAAGTATACTGCCTCTTTACTTACAAACTGCTACTGGGCAGAGTAGAGTTAGGCACGCCAGGTGTGGGAGAAGATTTTAAACAAATTTAAATTCCAGCAGGCCTTTAACACGCCCAGCAAACATGAGAACAGGAAGCAACAGAGAAGAGAGTAGAGGAAGGAGGGAGAATAAAACAGAAAATCTCTCCCTTGCCTTTTGGAGTGTTTGTGCTCGAGTGGCTGAGACTTTTTGCCCTTTCCCCCCTTTCTACAATTCCTCTTCACTTTCTTGTCTGTGTGGAAGTCATGCATTGAAAGAAAAAGGATGTATGTGTATGTTGAGTCAGTGTTTGTGTGTGTCGCCGGTGCATTTGGGACTGGTCAGGAGTCAGCTTAATGAAGTGACTCTGACCGTCACAAGAGATTTGTGCATGTGTATGTGTGTGTCCGACTGCAAGTGTCCGTCTACAGTATGTATGTATGTGTGTGTGTGTGTGTGTGTGTGTGTGTGTGTGTGTGTGTGTGTGTGTGTGTGTGTGTGCGTGCGTGGGTCTGTGTGACTGGCAGGCTCAGACAGTGTGTGATGTGCTCATAAATCACATTGACAGCCTGTTACTGCGCTAGCTTTGGCCACTCAGCCACAGCTAATGTAAACAGAACACAGGCACACATACACACACCCAGTGTGTGTCTTAAAGAACTATAGCCATATCTCAAGAGAGAATGAGAGACGGGGGGTCGGGTATAAAATGGAGAGACAAGTAGAAAAGGAGAGGAGGGGCAGGAGGGCTGGAAAGACAGAAAAAGCGGGAAAGGGGATAAACCCTTTATTGTAACAAATGAGAATTTGGCAATTCACTTTTCACATGAACTGAACTATGTAAGCAGGACACAGATTTTGTCTGTAACTGCAACACTCATTGCCTATGACAAGAGTTTCCAGATATATAATTCCTAGTTTGAGTAATTGTAGATAGAAATTCTGGGCTCTCTGAACAAAGATTTCTCTGTGGTCCTAGAATTGTCAGCCCTTTTTGTCTGTTGTAGATTTAATTTCTTTTCTTGTTGATTTAGGCACATTTCAATAATCAAAACAGCAGTTGCGACACATGCTTGTGCTTGTGAAACGCGACACTAACCCTGCTTTAAAATCACTTTTGTGAAACAGGCCCTAGATTTCCAGAAAATATTATGATACAGATATGAAGTTCAATTAAACTGCTGCATGAAAAAAGTGTTTTCCTTCTTTTTATCCCTCTGTTTTTCTTTTGTAAAGAATAGCTTTTTTTGCTTACTCTTCTACACCCCCTCGCTCCTCCCTAACAGCCCCCACCCGCACACAAACACACTGCCATCACACTTCTTCTCCCCAGGCACCAAGTCTGAAAGGAAGTGACCTTTCTGCCCTTCCTGTGAGATCCTCTCTGTTCAAAGAGTTCTAGGCTGCGGCTGCCACTCTCTCTCTCTCTCTCTTTCTCTCTCTCTCTCTCTCTCTCTCTCTCTCTCTCTCTCTCTCTCACACACACACACACACACACACACACACACATACACATGCACACACACATACACATGCACATATGCACACACAATGAGCAGTTCCTCAAGTTGTATTTATTTTTTTTCCCCCTCCTCTAGTTATCTGTGATAGATAAAGTCCATCTCTCTCAGGGACTGATCAGGGGGGACTTCAAACAGCGCAGCACAGACCAGGTCCGCCCCAGACTGGGAGAGCAGGAAAGGGGACATTTATCACCGTAACACACACCGACATTATCGCCACGCGCCATGTAGTCTCTCCCCCTCTCGCTTTAACCTCCCTCATTCCCTTCCCTTCTTCTCTTCATCCTCGGGGTTGTCACAGCTTGGCTTCAGGCTTTTCTTCCTTTTAATACACGACTAATTTTCTGCACTAAGGCCTCAGTTCTCACATTGTTTTTCAGCAGCAGACAATTAACCTTTATATCATCCTTTTATTTATTTACAGTTGACTTTATACTTGATTTGTTGAGACTGAATGATGTAATGCAACAAGCAGACCAATTGAAATCATAAAAACAGAATAGGGAAGGGCTTCTTCTTAGATGTAAAAAAAAAAAAAAGAAAATCAATCAGGGCAAGTATGTATGTAGTTCAAAATTACCATTGAAAAATGTGCTTTGACAAAAGTTTTAGTCTTAATTTTTTTTATTGTATTCTACAAATCAAATCAAATAAGTAATAAATAATAAGAATAAAAAAAACTGGGTAAAGAACTGACTGTAGATCACTTGGACCCAACTTTTTCTACCTTCTGTCTCTCTGTCTTCTAACAGCAGTTAGGCAGTAAGCAGTTGGCCTTCCAGCAGCAGCTGATCCAGATGCAGCAGCTCCAGCAGCAGCACATCCTCAACCTCCAGAGACAAGGCCTGGTCCCACTGCAGCCCACCGCCACCATGCAGTCTCTGCAGCAAGGTACGTGCACACACACTTACATTCTTATGCAAACCCTCAGCACACAGACACATCCTGACAAACATACATGCACACATGGTCATAACTGAGCACACACACACACACACACACACACACACACACACACACACACACACACACACACACACACACGGCCTGTACCCAATGCCGCATGTGAAGCCTGTTAAGTTAATCAGCCTATAAAAGATAAAAGGAAACCTGATTGGTGGGTTTGTGGAAGGTACTCATTTGGATAATAGGTAAAATATGCCACTAAGCCCCCTGCTTGGAGGTGTGTGCATGTGCTTGCGAGTGTGTGTATGCTTGTGTGTGTGTACTTGAGAGTAGCCAGACACAAGAACATCATCGTTTTGCTATTGCTGTGCCCACTGGATTTTTTTTTTGTTCCTATATGCAACTTCTCCCACAGTCCCTTCATTTTGTCAGCATGGTTTTAGAATGATAAAAGTTGACTGTTGACTGGCCCGCCCTTAGTGAACATGTGTGTATGTGTGTCTTTGTTCACAGTAATGTCTTACACACACATGCACACTATCTCACACACTGAGAATGCTTTAGGGGCTCTAAAGTGGCCGTAGCATTGCTAAAGCGCTGACTGAGTTGACCAAACAGACCAGTTTCCTTCCCTCTGTCTGTCTGATCTCTCTTTTTCTCTCGTGGGCAGTCACATGCAGTCACACACACAAACTCTCAAACTCGCTCAGTCATCTGAATCTCACAAAAAACAAAATTAAACTTTAATTTAAACAATTTTAATTTCTAAAAAGGTTAGTTAAAAATATACTTAATACAACACCCAAATACAAAAAATACAAAAACCAAACTTTAATGTGATTTTCGCATGTGTGTGTTGATGGTGTTTGCATGTGTCCACCGGAGAGCAAGTGGAATTACCAGTTTATAGAGAGAGTGAAAAGAAATGAGTAGATGCAAATTGAATACAAATGAAAAGACCGAGGCTACAGTTTTGGATATAAGAGTATAATTATTCAGACAGTTGAAACATTTGGCTATGGCATCTCCTTCTCTTTCTCTCTCCCTCTCCCTCCGTATCAGAGTGGAATTTCCCTGCAGTGTGAAAGAGCCGGTCCATTGTGACGGCTCAGCCAGGCGTGAGCCAGAGCATTCCTCTGGCCAGCCATGCCACACAAACACACAAACACACATGCATAAACACAAGCACCTACACACACAATTGCACACACTATTTCCCCGCCTCAAAGGGCCGTTGTGTCCAGTGAGTAGTTGGTGGGAGGGAGGGGGGGGGGTTCTGCTAAGGTTTTTGTTTATTTCTCTTACTGCAGTAAGATGGAGGCACTTTGTAGATATCACATAACTGTAAATGTTCATTAATCAAAAAACCTTCTAACTTGACTGCAAAATACAAACAAACAGAGAGAGAGAGAGAGAGAGAGAGAGAACCAAACAAATGTTAATGAGAATCAAACTGTGTTTTTCTAAGCACAGACCAAGCCAGTCCATTGTTTAAGGACTCATACAAAAAATCCCATTAGGTTTGACTTCATCTGGTCAAACCACACCTTCTAAAGTAATTTGTGTACTGACATCAATGTGAAATAAATATGACCCTTGCAGCCAGATGTGAGTGTTCAACACTAGCTGGAAGATATTGTCAGAACACATTTTTACCTGAATGCATACAAAATCAGGATTTTTGTTCACAGATCTTCTCTGCTCATGGCTGCTTACAGTTTTAAGTTTGCTTGCTTTACACTCATCAGTAAACTGCTGACTTTCACCAGAATCTCTTTTTTTCCCTCCAAGTTAAAATTTTCTCGTGTTTTAAATGGAATGGATCTGCTTTGAGCTAGTCTGACAAGTCAAAAGAGGAAACACTTTATCTAACAATCACTTAACTACTTTACACTTTCCCTCTCTGGGCGTGTCCACAGATCGGTCGGGTTTCTTGGATAATACACACACACACATACGCACAGAAATCTATGCTCACACCGCCTCATTCCTCCAGAGTGAGAACTTTTGTTTTGGCGGGACCACAGAAGAATGCAGACAAAGCAGACATAATATTTGGATTGCTGCGAGGTCTCTGTATGTGTGTGTGATGTGCAGATGTGTGTGTGCGTGGCTGCATTTATGCATGTGTGCGTGCGTGCATGGTAAGATCCATTGGAGTAGGCTGTGGCATTTTTAGGCGTCTCTCTCACTGTGAAATTGGAGCAGAAATAACAAAGCTGCAACTAGAAAGAACCCAAAGTGTGCACCCACCCTGTTAAGACAAATAGTGGTAGTGACAGGAGCAGTGGTGCTGGTGGACAGTAACAATTGCCAACAGAGATTAGGAAATAGTTGAGGAATAGTAGATATTTGGAAAAATAACAAAACATGCAGAAATTAACCTCTTGTCTGTTTTAGTTTGTCCTATTTTCCTCTTTCAACTGCTCTGAGGGGACTGTAATAGTTGCATGTGTGTTTTATGTGGATTAGAATTGTAAGTCGCAGCTCTCTGACATCAGTTTATTTACAGTGTGTGCGTGGGTGGTATTGTAGATAGCTTTACTTAACTTAGATATCCTATAATCATATTTGCACTGAACATTGTGAAATTCATTAACTGAGTTAGGTGCTGAGTTAACTGTGGATTCTTCCTCTGCAGCGATGTGTCCGTCAGACCTCCAACAGCTGTGGAAGGAGGTGTCGGGGGTGCAGAGCAGTGAGGATGCCCTGAAACAGGCCGAGGGCCTGGACTTGAGCACCAACAGCTCCAATTCTACCTCAGCCTTCGCCAAAGCTGCCAGCGCTCACATCCCACTGCACAGCCTGGTCAACGGACAGAGCCACACCCCAAAGAGAGACAGGTACAGTAATGTCAGAATACATGAAAAAATCTACATAGTGATGGTGTGTCTGTCCTCTGTGTGACCTGAAGTCTCTCTAACTCACACACTCATGTTATGTCATTTTCAGGCTTTTAACTTTTAGCTTTTAGCTATTCTTACATACCTACGCACATAAACACAGTTACAAAACATGCACATGCAGCATATCACACATCACCAGGGTGTAAACGTCTTGCAGCTCATTTGATAGGAGGTGTGTTGGGTTCAGTATGTTCTGCCAGTATGCTGTCAACCACATGCCGGTATAGTATAGAGGAGGCGAGAGGAAAGGATGGTGGATGCAGGCCACCTGGTAGAAAATGGAAATTATTTGATGGAGTCATCTATATTTGTTGATCTCAATTTGCTGTAAAGATAAATTCCTCATTACTGTGTTGACATATCAAAGATGCATGTGTGGTGAGTACTACACATATGAGTTTTGGCTGCTCATGGGCTTGTCTCCATCTTTAAGAGCCAGACTGTTTGAGTGGATATCCTCCTTCACCAAGGCAGACAGCGGAGATGACCACGTTCCCCTTTACTCCAAAGGCAGCCAACCCCCCAGCAGCCAGTAAGTAGCACATACACACTCATACATACACACAAACATGAGTGGATAAGACTGAGACAGAAAGACACACTATTGGAGGGTGGTCTGCAGTGTCTTTTTGTACTGATTCACTGCTTGCTCAAGAGGCGTTGTTGTTGATCGTGACCTCTGACCTCATTTCTGAGGGGGTCAAGGTGGGTGTGCATGTATTGATTAAAAGAGCTTTAATTAGTTGATCAAATATGTCACACACTGTCATACTACAGCTCCAGTGTGCTGCAGCACTGGCTTTAGTAGCAGTACGAAGGGGGTAGCATTAGTGTGTTAGCCTGCTAAGCTAATGCATGGCTGATGTGGAGGAGAATGTGGTTGCCAGCAGTTTGTCATGTCTGCTGTCTGAGCTGCTTCTGAGTTGACTCAACCACAGCCAGCACACACACACACTTGCAGACTCACACACACACACACACACACGCACACAAGCTCCAACCTCAGCCAGCACATATGATCAGGAAGAGGCGAAAAAGCAAAGGGAGAGGGAGAGACATGTTTCCATCTGCGAGACAAATGGTTTTTGTTAGACAACCTTCTGATGTTGATTTGGGAGAATCCCCATCCCAAAACACACAGACACACACACATAAGTGCGCACACACACACACACACACACACACACACACACACACACACACACACACACACAAATACACACATACACAGTCATGTAAATATATGTGGAGACAGCAGTCGCCGGCGAAGGTCCAGGTCTGAACCACATCTGCTACTGGACCTGCCACACACACACACGCACGGATACAGTTATTTTACCCTCGGCCCAAACCAAACCTGGCCCAGTCTTTCATCACCACACACACATACAACAAACACACACGCTCATAAATATGCACAGATATACACACACAAAAACATACACGTGCACAAGCTCACCACAAAAGAACAACCAGCACATGACGGCAGCCGCCGCCAATCAGTCATGGCTGGTTGGTCCTGTGCCGACTCTGTGTCAACTCCTGAAACGAAAGAACACACACATGCACAACACATACGCCAA